AAATCCAAAAACAGCATCTGATACTATATTAAATATTTGACCAGCAAAAGGAACTAAGTAAAAATAAAATAAATAAAGTTATAAATCCAGTATTTTTTATTTATTTTACTTAAAGGATAATAAATTAGCCTTGAAACAAGCTGGTGAATAACTTTTTCAGCGTTGTCCTTGTTGGACTTTAGTGCCTTAGAATTTGGCGCTTTTCCTGAACTTTCATTTTTTAGTAAATTGTTATTTAATCTTTGAGCACGTTTTAATTTCAACATAACAGAAATTGAAGCGTAAGCTGAATAGATTATTGATATTAAAGTTGGAAAGTAAAAAGTTGCCCAAGCGTATACGTTAAACCTTTGGTCATTTCCATGTACAAGTAGATACCAGCATGTTTCATCCTTCTTTAAAAAAAATAATAATTTTAATTTTTTTTTTTAAGTTTAATTACCTCATCGTATCCATAAATACCTAAGAATAACGGGACTATTGTTAAAGCTAATGATATTAAGAATGAGCTTAAAACATAAATAATCAAAACATGGTCCCTTCGTTGATTGTAAATGAAAACTAACTAAAAAAAAATAGAAAAAATAAAAAAAATAAAAAAAAAAATGATACCTGTAAATTTATTGCAATGCACATACTCAACAAAGTTGACCAAAGTGAAAAGAAAACATAAAAAAAAACACCTAACTTGCAAAAAAAATCATCAACAGTGTAAAGTGTCGAAAACAACTGCGCAGCTCCATAAAGTCCTATTTAATTTAAAATTTAATTAAAAGGTTTTAATTATTTCATACCTTCTACAACCGAGACTGCAACAGTCAATTGAAACGTCACCCGTTTTACAAGTTCAGGTGTGTATTTTCTAGCTACAAAATATACCAGCAGTATTGAGGAGGAAGTTAGAATTGAAAAGACTAAAAATAACAGAATTAATTTTTTAATAGATATTTTTCTCCAATACCTTGAAGACCTGTCGAAACTTTATACAGAATGTCAAGTTGACTATAAAAAAGAAAAATAAATATTTAAAAAAAAATTTCATTTCATATGGATAATGAAAGTATGATGAAGAATGTTTTTTTCTTAAAAAAAAAAAAAAAATATTGTATATGGAGTTTGGAAACCCACGCATAGAAAAAGAATAAAAAAAACAATTTATTTCTAATGCATATCGTTTATTTAATTTCATTGTAACTTTTGATATAATTTTTATTTCTTATATGATTTGGTTTATTTGATAATTCACCTTCCATAGATTAAATCCGCATCAGATTCAGTAATAACAGATTCAACATTGCTTGAGTTTGACATTTTTTAATGATAAAATTTCTTAAATTCTTTTGGATAATACAAAAAAAAAAAAATTTATTTTTCCAGAACAAACTTAAAAGTTCCTAAACCTTCGTAAATAAAGTGATGAATTATGGATCACAAATAGTAATTTGACTGAATTATATCTTCTTTATAATCAGCGCCACTCCGTACAGCTAAAGAAAAAAAAGCCCTGCAATTGAAAGTTCTTGAATTAACAAGCATATGGAAAATCACTTGTCGATGGTTAACTCTCTCGTGGAAGAAATCATTCAGAAGTGGTTTTGACACCAGACCGCACTCTCCAATCGACTGTCAGCGCGTGCCAAGTGGACTATCAGCAATTCTTGTAATTTATTGTTCAAACTTTTCCAATTTGAGACTAGAAAGAGCTAGAAAGAGCTAGAGTCTAAACTACTTAAGGAAATTTGAACATAGAACCAATTTTGGTTGATTACTAATTAAACACAATACCAGGGGAAACTAACAAAGTATAATGGAAACAATGAAAATTAAATATGGAACCTTTCATACTTCAAGAAATAAACAGTTGATTGACATAGAACTTAAATTAACATTGATACTCATATATAGTTAGAATAGTAGAGCATTCAAAAAAAACCAAATTTGTCTGTGGCATTTGGCTGGCTTTTAAAAAAAAATGTGGCAAACAGGTTTAGCTTTAGGCTTAGAGTTTATGGCTTTTAGGTAATACAGTTTAGCGCGCATTGTCTGTAAAAAAAAAAGTAAAAAACTAAATATCTAAAATTTTAAGAGGTAGAGGGAGTGTGTCTACAGTGGCATCATTATTAAGTTGCTTGCCAGTACTTAAATCCTCTTCACTTCAACACTCTAAAACACTTTTGAGAAAATGTGTGCCTGGATTGCATTTTTAATCCATGACTTATTTTTTTCCTGAAGCTAATTCTTCAAAACTTCAAGAATAGTAAATACTAATGGTTTATTATTGGAATAAATTCCTGTATTCTGTAATCATTAATTTTTAAATAGTTACTAGGGAGGCATACCATCTAATGAATTAATCCAAATCTGCTACTTGTTGTGAATTATGTTTTACATTTTTTTTAACCGAAGTTTGAATATTTGATGTATATTTAAATTTTTATTTTTGCGGGATCTTACACAAATAATTACGCCCAATCTGTGGATGCAGCCGCTTTGCTCTCCAATGTAGCTGTAATTTCAACAGTTGAAAAAAAAAAAATTACGCCTCCAAAACAGAAAAAAAAAAAGGTAAAATGAATAGTAAGGATGAAACTCCTGTTGCATCAAATGATTCTGCAGATAATAATATTAAAAGCGGTGAAGACTCTGCCAAGAGCAATATTGCGTTTCTTCAATCTTCTATTCAAAATACTTTTATCGACATCAACTGTCTTCAATCCAACTTACTTTCCCCCATCACTATTCCAAAAATTAAAATCAACCTACAATCTACTACTTCCACTATTCTAAAAGAACTTATTGCAAAACACTTTTCAATAAACTTCTCCTCTATCCAAACTCTCTACCTTGTAAGAGAACGCCTTTCGTTCTTTGACCCTAGACTTCGAAATCTTAGAGAATTTACTAATTTGCAATATTGTAAGTAATTTTTTTTTAAAAAGTTAACTTATAGCAAATAATTTAGCATCTATAAACTTAAAAAAAATTGAAATTGACGACACCAACTTATTTCAAACTATGCAAGCTTTAAATATCGATTTTCTGGATGATCAAGATTTGATTCATTTTATTTTTACAGTTTTCGATGAGAACGAAAGTCAATTGCTTGGAACTTTTCCACTTCCCACATACACGTAGAGTTAAACAACGCAACTAATTTCTAATATTTTCTTATTTTATTTCTTACTGTAGTGAAGTTTCTGAATCAGCTTCAAGTAGCATTCCTCAAGAAGCACTACTTCCTTCACAGTAACTTTACGATAAATATTTTTTAACTTTTTTAAAGAGCTATTATAGGTGATCCCAAGAATGAAAGTGAAGATCAAAAAAATTCTTTAAATTATATTATAATTAATAAAAAAAAATTGAAGTTAAAAATTATAATATTTTTATTAATTTTTGTAACAATCTTTATTGTTATCTTTTTAACCTTTTTTTTAAGTATGAAATAATTTTATTTTTATTTTTAAATGTTTCTAAATCAAAAAAAAAAATAGTTTTTCGTAAATCTTCAAAAATCACTGCTACGGTCGACCCAAGTCTTGCGAATGCAACTGAAACAAACAATAATCAAAATAATAAACCTAACGCAACTCAATCTATTTCAAACCCTGTACAAGAAACTCCTGCAGTGCAGAGACAATTTAAATTAATGAATAAAAAAAATTCTTTGAATGGTACAACAACTGATAATTATTGCGTTTATGCAGATAAAAGTGTTGGTGATCAACAAACTTTGAAAATGGGAAATTGTAATAATGATGAAATTATACATAAGTGGATCTATTATAAAGATACTCTGTATATTTGCGAGTTGAATTCTACAGTTAAAACGAACTATTGTTTAGATGTGAGATACTTTAAAAACATATACATTTATTTTTATGTATTTTAGATCCCTGGAGGAAATGTGAATTTAAGAATTAATTTAAATAAATTTAACGCTGCATTTACTGCAGTTTATTGGAATTTTGATTCAGTTTTTGGTAATTAAATATTATATATATGTATAAAAAATTAACTAAGGCAAAAAGGAAAATTGGTAAATACAGGGTATGGAGGATGTTTAACAGTTGAAGAACAAAATACTTTGAAACATAGAGATTGCAAGTATTTATCAGATGGTGTTTCTGTTCCTCCTAATCAGAGATGGGAATTTGTCTACTAACTTACTGTTACATAAAAATTTAGGAATAGATGAGTAAACTTACATTTATTCTATGAGAAAAATTGGAATTTTTTTTTTCATGAAGTAATTGATTTTACTTTTTTTTTATCTATCATATTTATTTATTCTTATTTCTTTTTTTTTTATAATATTTTTCATTTATTTATTTATTAATAAAAGTAAAAAAACCTTTATTAAAAACTTCTAGGAAAAAATTTATCAATGTCAATTTGGAAATTCGCAGTAATATCAAAAAATTGCGAATAGTTCAAGTCTTTGAATAATTACAGTTGATTTTATAGCTAGGCAGTTTTATAGCTAGAATTATTAATTTTTGGTATTGTAAAATTAAAATATTGTTTGTTTACGTACCATTTAAATAAATTCCGTAACAAATGTAGCTAATTGCATTTACTAAGGGAGTGTCCACGAAAGCTAACATACCAAGAATTTCTATATTAAATTTACGTTCAAAATAATACTGGTTTTAACGACACTGTTATTCATTTTCTGCCGAAAACTTTATAACTTACAAATATTGCATAAAGGATTGCGGTTTCCTATCAAGATGTACTTTTTTTTGTGTGTAGTTAAACATAACATTTCCTTTATTTAATTTTCAGTTTTTGTCTTAATTTTTTGCAATGAGTGCTTTGCACCATACACTCGTTTACTGCTTTTATATCAAATGGTATCATTCTATTGTCATATACTCGATATTGATAATTAAGATTAAGAGCTTCTGAAAAAATTATATTTTTAATTCTGAATAACCCGTTCAAGATTTCAAACAAAAATTATTATTCTTTTTTGTAGTTAATAACATGAATTGTAAGCATCAGTGGTTTAGTGGTATAATTACCGCCTGCCACGCGGTAGACCCGGGTTCGATTCCCGGCTGATGCAATCTTGGCTTTTAAAAAATTTTCCAAATTATTTTTGCATTTATTTTTCTTTTATTATATTAATTTAAATAATTATTACTTTTTTTCCTTTAATACTAATTAAAATTAATTTTGCTTTTTTTATTTTATAATATTAATTTTATTTAATATTGCATTTTCTTTTTCAATTTTAATTTTTGAATTTTTATAAATTTTATAACTGTATTAGATAAGCAGTAACCGGCGTTCTACTTAAATAATATAATAATAAGAAGAGTATAAAATAGATCAAGTTAT